CACAGCAGCATCCCTAAGGGGACCTTGGTCACATCACTTGAGGTCTCCATGGGGCAAAGCCCAGTGGTAAAGGGGTTTTTCTGGGGGGGCTTCTCAGGCTCCTGGCCCTGCACAAGTCCCCACTGGGCTGGCACAGGGACAACGTGAGGCTTGGGTCACCATCTCCCCACAGGGCAGCCCCTTGGCATTGCCTGAGGGCTGACTGGGGGGCTGGGGTCAGCCCAGGAAGGTGGCAGGGCTGGATGAAGGTGAGTGGAGCTGGCAGGAGGCTTGAGGGATTCTGAAGATAATCCATCCACCAGCAGGAGCTGCCTGGGATGATCCAGGCTTGGAGGCCAGGGCCCCAGCACACTGCAGGCTTGGCTCTGGAGCTGCAGGCAGGTGATGGGCCAGGTCCCTCCCTGTTCTAGGTGAGACAGGATGTGGGGACATCATGCCTGGAGCCATCAGGGTCTCCTATGCCTCCTGACTGACTTTGTCAGCATTAATTTTTCCCGCTGCCATGGAAACAGGAGTGAGGTTGCTATTGACTACAGGGGCTGCAGGCAGGGCTTGGCAGAGGCAGGGAAGCTGGACTGGGCAGGCAGGAGGGACCCAGGAGACCCTTCCAACCCCCACCATCCAAGTCCTCCTCTGCCATCAGCATCACCAGCATCAAACCCCCACTGGGAACCTCTTGTTTGCTCTTGGGGGATGTCGGATGTGTCACTCCAGGAGGGACAGTTCCATCCCAGTGCCCTGGAGGGAACCACATGGACAGGGCTGTGCCTGGGGTGTGCCCAGCATCACCTCAGGATGACTGGGAGATGTGTCCTTGGAAACCTGACGTGGGCTCCTCATCCTTCCCAGCCTGTTTAGGCTGGTGGGGAAGCACAGCCCCTGTCTAGGCTGGTGGGGAAGCACAGCCCCTTGCACTGCCAGTCCCATGGGAGCCCAGCCAGTGTCCCTGGCTCCAGATGGCAGATCCAAGAGTGGCACGTGTTGACATCCCTGGTCACAGGCAGGCCCTGGGCTCTTTAACCCAATTAAAAATGGTTTAGACTCAAACTCCAAGCAAGGCACCCTCCTCCTGACCACGGATGATCACCCAAGCAGGTCTCGGGCTCCCTTCCATGCCACAGCCACAGCTCTCTGGGTCCTCTCCAAGTGACTCCTGCTTTGGCCATGCCCCAAGGGCAGGAATGGGCTTTACAACCACCCACCCAACCGTGGGAAAGAGGAGAAAAAGAGAGGAGTAAGCAGGGATAATTCCCTGCTGGTTTCTCTGCTCTGTGAGCAGGCAGAGCTCCATGCCAAGCTGGCTGTCAGCTTCTCCCCCATGAGCTGTGCTCAACAGCTCAGGACAGGCTCCTGCTGCCCCAATTATCCCTCCCTGCCCAGCACATGATCCTGTTTGTTTTCAATCCCACCAGCCAGTCCATCAAGCAGTTATTCCTTAGAGATTGGCTGTGCACACACAGAGATGGGAGCTGGGAGAGAGCAAGGCAGGGACTCAGGTGGTCATGGCTCTGCTCTGTGCCTCAGTTTCCCCTGGAGAGTTTCATAGATGATGCTGAACTTTTTTTTGCTTTGAAACAAGACCAGATGGTTCAGACTTATAGTCCTGGCAGCCAAACACCAAGCTGCAAAAGTCCAGGGAGGTGCTGGAGAGACCCAGCCCATGAGATGGCTTGCTCAGTCCTCTCCCAGCCATCACAAGGGCTGGGGCTCTTTATTTAATTCCCTGTCCATCCTCTCCAACCAGCATGGACCTTTCACACCCAGGACATCCCCTGGCAGAGACTTCAGCATCTCAGGTCTCTGCTGCATGAGGAACCACCTCCTTTGGACCCAGCTCCCACCAACCTTCTCCAAGAACCTCTGGCTTTGCTCTCCTCCAAGCAATCCTTTGCTTTGAGACTGCTCCTTCCAGCTCAGCACTATTATTTATAGCCCCTGGGCTAATCTTTAATGATTACCCTTCGTTTCAAAACCAAGAGGTGACAGCTTGGGCCACCTTGGTAACTTCATGGCACCTTCAGCTTCCCTCTGTGCTCATTACACCACCAGTCCTAAGAAGCCTGCCAGAGAAGATGCCCTGGAGATGCCTTATGCCCCCCAGGGCAAAGGCCACTTGTTAACACGTCTGGCTCAGTGCTCAGTGACCTGGGCAGCTTGGCTATCCCCACACCTTTTTCTTTTCCTCCTTGCAGGAAGACCCTGGATGCTCTGGGCTGCCCCAGAGCCAAGTGTCCCATCCTGCGTTGGGCACAATCGAGCCATGTCCCTCTCTGGCTTGGAGGTTCTGCCCCCCTCCCCAGCTCCATGGCTTCCCTGCCTCCCCCTCGCCCTGATTTCCTGCCCCTAATGAAGCATTAATATTCAGTGAATCTGCAGCAGCTATTCCTGTCCCCAGTGACCTGGTTTCCAGGCTGATGGATGGTGTGTGCTGGGCCAGCCAGGCCGCCTGCACCATTAAGCATCACACAGATAAATCATCATCAAGCCAGGGTGGACCCTCACGAGGCCAGGGACAGCCCTGTGCAGGGCAGGAGGAGTGGCATGTCCCCAGCTGGAGCTGGGCTGCTTTGGATACCAAACCTGAGCCCCCAGGGAGCCCCCAGAAGGCAGAGACCCCAGCAGGAACTCCTTGGACAAGCTTCTTCTGTAGGGCTCCCTGGGATCCACACCAGCCTGAGTCTACTCAGGTGAGAAGCAGGCTCGAGCCCTGACTGTCCAGCCTGGGTCTCTTGCCTCAGAAATTATTACTGTTATTAATGGGCATTATTGCTAAGACCATATATCTAGGGTTACAGAACAGGAGCCAGCCCACGGAGCCATCACCAGCAAGCTGGGACAGGACTGTTCTGCACGATGGAGTTAAGAGGAAGGAGTGAAACTGGTGCCCTCGGCTGGACAGAGGCAAAAGCTGCGATTCCAGTCCCAGGGAGAACCAAGAGAGGTGACCCGAAGAGGCAGGAGCAGGCAGGGGTGAGGCACAGCAAACCTGCAGCTTCAGCTCTGGCACTTGCTGGTGGGGTAAGCCAAGCACTGAGACCTTCTGCACTTCAGTTTCACCATCTGGGACAGGAGCATTGCAGTGCTGGCCTCTGTCCAGCACCCTGAGCTCTCCAAGAGACCAGTGCAGGATTACCTCTGAGCTCCCCAGGGGCAGGACACTGCCTCAGAGAGGAAAACCCTGCCTCCAGCCAACTGACTGATTAACCAACCAACAAACCAACCAGCCCAACCATCAAATCCTCCAACCAACCAACCAACCAACCAACCAACCAACCAACCAACCAACCAACCAATCCTCTAGCCAGCCAATCATCCATCTATCTATCTATCTATCTATCTATCTATCTATCTATCTATCTATCTATCTATCCATCCATCCATCCATCCATCCCCCTCTCAATATACCCTCTATATGTCCCTCCATCTACACAACCATCCCTATGTCTCCCCTTCTCCATACCATTCCATCCACCCCTCCATTGATATTTGGAAGCCATCTGGGATGTGCCTCTCTGGGATGAGAGAAGGGCAGGACACACAGATGGGCCAACTCAGAGTTGTGTCACTTACATCTGGCGCCCATGCTGGTCCTCCCTGGTGAGCACACCTTCCTTCTCCATCAGCATCTGCCGAAAGGTCCCCACTTTCTGCCTGATCTCCTCTTCAGAGTACCTGGATGGGCAAAGACAGGAGTCAGGGCTGCTGTGGCCAGAGCGTGGGCTCCCCAGGGATCTGCTGAGAACCTCCATACCTCCAGGAGCCACATGGTGACAGCCATCAGGACCTCTGCTTGGTCCCTTGCCACCACTCTCCATGCCCTTCTCCCTCCTATCTGCCCCTCCCAGCAGAGGAAGGGACATCAGGAAGGGGTAAAAGAAGAGGATGTCCATCAGGTTGCCATTCCAAGTCCCTGCCAACCCTCCCATCACAGCTGGTGATGCCGGGGTTCATGCTTGGTGTCTCCATCCCATCATGAGCCTCCACTGCTTGTCCCTGTGCCCAGGCCCCAGCAGCCAAGCCAGTGCTGCACTCATGCTGACTCAGGCCTCTGCAGGGTTATTAACAAGAGACACTAATCACTTTGTCCCTGGCACAGGAGAACAGCCGCAGCAAACCACGGCACTCTGGCCATCCCCGAGGTGTCCCCAGGGAGGGACAGGTGACAACCCAGGGAGGTCAGTCCTGTGCTCCATCCTGGGGCTGCACAAGGGCACTCAAGCATCCCCCTCCACCAAGAACATTCAAACCCAGGCATGTGGTAACAGAGGGAACCTGCTGTGCCCTGGGCGTTGTCCCTGGGGACAGGGCAGAGGGACCCCATGTCACCACCACGCTGCCCCTGTCCCCGAGGCTGGCACCTCACAGAGCCTGTGCTGGGGACAGCAATGTCACTTACAGCACCCTGGGTGCCTTGGGTGCAGAAGTGCACCCAGCAGCACCAACCCCCCTGCGTTTCCCATGAAGGGAAATTAATATTAATGAGTTCATTTGCACAGGAAGGTTCTCATTAGTTCTCCAGCCAGCCAGGACAGCTGTGCAGGAGGGCACAGAGGCAGCCTGGCTCCTTCCCTCCTGCCTGGGTATGGGGAGGGGGGAGCCCTGAAAAAAGAGCAGCCCCCCCAAATGGTGCTGTGCTCTGTACCCACCATGGCAGGTCCATCCCTGGTCACCTGCCAGGCAGCAGCAGGAAGGTGTCCAACCCAGGAGACCAGCATTTGCTGCAGTGTCTTATGAACATGACCAAAGCTCTCAGAGAGAGAACACGAGGCCAAACAGGAGGTGACAGATGGGCCACCACGGCTGGGTGGTTAGCAAGCCTGCAGGGGGCAAGGCCAAGGTGAGGGACCCCCCTCCCCCTGCACCCTGTGATGGAGGCAGAGTCATCCTGCCCCTTCCCTCCTGCACCTCCCGGCCCTGCTTCGAACCCCCTCAGAGAGATTTGAGTTTCACATCGAACACATAAAATGAGTTTGGGAGAGAAAGCAAAACTGCTGACACTTGTTTTCCGGACAAGCTCTCCAGCCTGCAGGCAGGGAAGGGCAGTGCAGGCAGCCCGGGGCCGGCAGCAGCAGCCGGATCCAGACCGGGCAGGAGGAGCCAGCCGTGTTTAAGGGAAAAAGGAAACACTTCAAACCCCCCAAACCTCCTCTGCTGTCACCCCCACCTGCCCTGCCCTGAGCGGTGACTCCCCCGAGGCCACGGCCAAGGTGCAGCCCCCAGCCCAGACAGAAACCTCAGGGGTGCAAAGCACTTCCCGTGCACCCCCCGCCCCGAAGAGCCCTGTGCCAGGGGAGGAGCCCGGGGGGGGGAGGATTAACCAGGTTGACCAAGATTATGACTGTTAATTATATTATCATGCCGGCCTATCACCCTCATCACCAGTATTAATGGCCTTAATAAGAGCAGAGGCAATTACAGCAGTAAGAACAATGCTGACTGCACTGCTGCTATTACCCGTGGCAGGAATGGTACTACCAGTAGTAAGATCCCTAGTAGGGCACAGGAACACAGGCAGGAAGCTCTGGGCTCCCTAGGGCTCCAGGTCAACCTTATTTATTTCCATAACGACAAATTAAGCACAATCATTATTTCAGTCTGTGTGAGACAATTTAATTCTAGGTCACGCTTGAGCTCTTAATGAGAGCCTTGGAGGAGCCTTCCCTCGATCCATGTTCCCTCTCCCAGTCCCCATCCACCCACATGTGCCAATGGATTTGGTCCATCCCTGTCAGGGGGAATGGACTGTGAGGGATCAGGAGCTGTGGGGTGGCTTGGCCATGGGGATGGGGGTCTGGCCCCTCCTGCCCACCCCACAGGGAGGCTTTCCAGCTCCTCAGGTTTTCCTCCAGCTCTTTTTCATTTCCTGGGGTACAGCAAGACCTGGGGAGCAGCTCGTGGTGCCTGGTCAGGGGCACAGCAGGACAAGGGGGATCCTCTCACCCCAAAACTTGGGGGACAAAAGCAAGGCAGGACAAACTGAAGCACCAAACCAGCCTTGCCTGGGACTAAACCCCAACTCTGCTTCATCTGCTCACCACAAGAGACAGAGAAGAACCTTCTCCCATCCCAGGCATGCAGGGCACAGGCTGGGGGGCACTGATAGCATGTGTGACCATGAGCATCTCCCTCCTCCTGCCTAACTCAGCTTTCCCACCACAGTGAGCTGGGATCCCAGATTTCCAAGCGGAAGGGCTGGAGCTCCTATGTCTGCACTTTTTGGAGGCATTTAGCTTCACAAACCAACCCATCAATCCACCCCAAAGCTGTCTGATTCACCCCAAAGTGTCCTTCAACTGGGGACATTTGTCACATCAAGGTGTGTTTTTAGAGAGGAATCACAGAATCACAGAATGGTTTGGGTTGGAAGGGACCTTAAAGATCATCTAGTGATCTTCAAGGGCAGGGACACCTTCCACTAGACCAGGTTGCTCAAAGCCCCATCCAACCTGGCCTTGACAATGGAAAATAGAGGGAGAACAAGGTGCACATGCGTCAAGAGGGTCCCCAGCCACCTCCAGCCCAGCCCCAATCCCCCACCACTCACCCCTGTTCCTCCATCATCTCCTGCAGCTCCATGCATTTCAGCTCCACCCGCCGCTTGCGCTCGTGGTCCAGGATTTCCCGGTGAGCCTTCTTCACCAGGCTGGGCTCCACCACCTTCACCTCCTCCTCCCCCTTGTGCCATGTCCCCGAGGCACTGGGCTGGGAGAAGCCATTAGAGGCTTCCTGGGGTGAAGGCACGTCGGCCCCATTGTTGTAGAGAGCCATGATGGGTGGGTGACCTTGCTGCCACCAGCAGCACCTGGGGGGGGGAGATAAGGAACAAGGGGCAGGCCCTGCCTTGGGTTGCCGCTCCCCAGTG